AGTTGCGCTTATTGCCATCGAGGTGGCGCGGCCTCAGGCTGAAGAGGCCCTGTGAGCAGCTGTGATGCTTGCAAACTCCCCACGAGCTAGAGGGACAGCGGGGACCTGCCGCCCCGACGGGTGGCCTTCAGCCCCAAGGGCCCGCTTGCTGCCCTGTGAGCGCAGGTCTGGAAAGGCGCCGGGCGGGCCGGGCCAGGCCGAGCGGGGCCCCCCTCAGCCACCGGGACGCACGGGACCGTCCCCCAGACGAGCAGCCGCCCTGGCCTCTTCTGAGACCAGAGCCAAGCCGTGGGCCGAGACAGGCCTGTCAAGGGCGAGTGTTGGCCAAGACGGGGCATTCTCTGACTGGCAGAGCCCCCGATCAAGGAACCGGTGTCCCCAGACGGGCGCGGTGTTTCCCTTTGGGCAGCAGTCTCGGGGGAAACACGTCCCCGTTCATTTGAGACAGTGACCTTTTTAAAAACAAATGGCCTTCTTGACATACAATCCGTAGACTGTGGAATCCATGCACTTAAAGTGTGCAGTTCTGTTCTTAGCATGTTCACCGAGCTGCGCAGCCTTTACCACCATCGACCTGGAACCTTCTCAGGCCCAGAAGGGAACCCCATGTCATGCTTTCAAAGACACGTGTCATTTTACATTTCCATCAGTAACATACGCAGATAGTGAATCTTTTTATTTATTTTTTATTCATAGACTTTTGTGCCTTTCTCCCCTTTACTCGTTGTGCCCACCCCCGCCACTGGCAGCCCCTAAATTATCCTCTGTATCTACACACTTTCTGTTGTTGTTGTTCCGATTTCAGATTCCAGTTACAGAGATCAGATAGCACTTTTCCGCCTCTGAACTATTTCACTGCGCATAGTGTCCTGAAGCAAAACCGACATATTTCCCGTATGAGACCCTTCCAAGCTTCTGTCCTGACCATGAGGCCACGTAAAACTGAAATGAGGTCCTGTACAGATCGGGGTCCAGCATTTCCTGTGATGGCTTTTGGAAAGCCCAGGAGGGGTCCTTCCCGGATCGGGCTGGAAAAGGCCAAAAACAAAAATTTCCACAGTGCCAGGCCCATCGGAGCTGGGAGCAGCGCCGTCTGTGCCAGAGTCGGGGAGGCCCCGGCGAGGGGAGCATGTGAAGGGGTGATCAGCATCCCGGCGGCGAACGGGAAGTGCTCAGTGACGGTGACGACACAGGTCCTTAGCGCCCGATGGCGTCGCCTGAGACACAGCGTCCGAGGCTGGAAGCTAAACCGGCACCCGCTTCTGAGGAGACCTCCGTCCGCCCTCGGTTGACTCGCTGTTGACCTTGAGCCACTTATGTGATCTGCTGAGTCACACTGTCCTACCTGGTAAATTAGAAACAGTCTTCAAAGTTTTATAAGAAAGACTCTGTTTCTAAGCCTCAGTGACTGAAGTGCTGGCACCCCGCCGGTGTTTGGGGGTACAGACCGGAGGTTAAGATCTCTAAGAACAAGGTCGTCTGCCGCAGAGGAAGTTAGAACTCTGAGGTGCTGGGAGGTGACAGCCGTTACACCCAACCCTGACTGGGAGGGAGGGAGGCTGAAGGCTTTGGCTGTGTGGCCATGAGCCGGTCCGTGGGCTTTACGCAGCCGCGGGCGCACACAGGGGTGCGGTGGCGGAATGAAGACACAGGTTTTGTTTGGGTGTAGAATCATTTATTGCACAGCCGACTCACATTTGCCCTGAATCCAAACAACCGTGTGCAAAAATAATAATGATGTTGATTTTAATCCTAAATAACTCATTTCATGGCAAATAGAATATCTGGTCAATACGAGGAGGCCTACTTTTCAGAATCTTTTATAGTTGATCCTTAACAACATGGGTTTGAACTGTGCGGGTCCACTTACATATACAGAGGAGTTTGTGGATGAATATTACAGTCAGCCCCCCATGTCCCTGGGTTTCCCACCCACAGGCTTCACCAACTGCGGACTGCAAGCGTAACTTCAGCCCACCGCTGGGCGTCCGGGGGCACGTAGGGCCAGACGTGTGCGTTGTTCCGTGTGCACTTCACGCAAGGGCTGGCGCGTCCGTGCACCTTGCTAACTGCAGGGCTCCTGGAGCCACTTTCCTGTGGTGACTCTGGAACAACAGTAGTTAAGTTTGGGGGGGACAAACATAGTGGGCTTTGGACTGCATGGGGGGTTGATGTCCCTAACTCGTGCGCTGGTCATCGGCCAGCTGTGTGTGCCTCCACCGAGGTCCAGCGGCCTCACAGCCTCCGGGATGGATCTTACGTGGCACAAGCTGCCAGAGCACCTTTGGAATCACTGGGAAAAGATGCTTCATTTGCTCACTGACAATGTCAAAGCTAGTTAACTGCTTTCTAATCATTTAAATTGTCAAAGGTTTATAGTATATATTGTGATTATTGATTAACATCAAACTCCCAGTTCAGCTGAGACCAGCGAGTCCTGTAGTTCAGGGCAGCTGCAGGGGCGGGGACGTGCCCAGGTCAGGAGTTCAAACGCCAGTGTCGCCATTATGGCTGAGCAAGGAAATGGGGAGCAAAGTGCTCGGTCAGTTTGTGCCTCTTTCCCTGTCTGTAAGCGAGAAAATACTGGCAGCTACCTCATGGATAAAACAAGTTAAAATGTATGAAGTGTTTTTGAACAGTTTCTGTTACATAGTAACCCCTCGAATGTTAGCTAATTTGTATCATTACTGTTGTAGCCATGGCGCTTTCTGATGTTTTGGCCCTTCTACATGCACTTTCTCATGCGAGCCCAGCAGAGCCCTGGGAGCTACGGAAGGGGAAGGCAGACGCCGGAAGCAGGGGGCGCGAGAACTCAGTCGTGCCTGCCGTGGCTCAGAGCTCGCGAGCATCGCCGGGGTGGCTACAGCTCCTGGCTGAAGACCCGGCCGCGCTGGGTAACCGGGAGCTGCCGTGACTGGGGCTGTCGTCCAGGGACACGCCCCCTCAGCTCTCACGTCTCCCGGGGCTCCAGGTGGCATGAGGTGGAGACACAGGGCGCCTGGCGCTAGGGTCGCGGACCGTCTCACTGGCCCCGAACCGCACACCTGCACCGGGGCCTCTCGAAGCCCAAAGGGGGCCCGCTTGGCAGCGGCTTGTGTGGGTTGCCTGCTCGCCCCCAGCTCAGGGCCTCCCTGGACCAGGCTGACGAGTAGAGGAAGGGCTTGCAGAGGAGGTGAGAGACTGGAGCTTGTAGCTGAAACCTTTGTGCCAAATTGTGAGACATTTTTCTCCAAAGAGTCAGCCAGGATTTGACCTCTTGAGTGGGGTCTTGGCATCTTGTGACATAAAGCACCCTCCTGTTAACACTGGAAAAATCCCTACAAGGATGCACATAGTCTGGCGTCTTAGCATTAGGGTATTTCTGAGATCCATACTTGCCCTTTCCAAAATCTGAATCTTAAAGGCGAGCGATCTAGCCCTGCAGGCTGTGCAAATATCAGAGGAGAGAGCTCTGTTATGTCAAACCCCTTCTCTGTGAAGAAATGCAGGGCCTAGGACAGCCCTATCGGCACTACCCAGAGACGAAGGAAAGACAAACACAAGCCCAAGAGAGTCCAAAGTAGCCACCACGATCTCACAGGCCTGGCTTGGCTCCTGGGCCTTCAGCTCAGATCCTGCTGTTGTTACTTAGGTTTTAATGACAATACATAGTAGCCAGTGAGAGTCAAGCTCAGATAAGCCATATAACTAACTATGAGTATCATCACCAAATTGGAAATTTTAAGTCATGAGAATTGCTTTTTGTTGTCTACCCTTCAGTACTATTTTTTTTATAGTATTTATTTTTTTAAATATTTATTTTAAAGAGAGGGGAGGGAGGGAGAAAGAGCAGGAAAGAAACATCCTTGTGTGGTTGCCTCTCACTGTGCCCCACTGGGGACCTGGCCCGCAACCCAGGCCTGTGCCCTGACTGGGAATCCAACCGGTGACCCTCTGGTTCGCAGGCGGCGCTCAGTCCACTGAGCCGCACCGGCCGGGCCCCTCAGTCCTATTTAAGAGAATAAGTATTTCTGGGCTCTCAGAGGGACTTTGACATGGATGCTAAACATCAGTGCATTCTCTTTGTCCTTTGGCCCCAGGAGGTGGGATGGAGTCACGGGGTTTAATCCTCCCCAATGCGCGCAGCTGCTCGGAGAGAGACAGGGCCTGAGGGGGCCAGGGGATGTACAGGGTGTAAACTTCATAGTGGACAGGAAAGTGTTCCTGTGTTCAGCCGAATACATCTTAAATCGGTGTCCCCTGAAAGGACCAGACCCATCCCTGGCTGGCCTGCGGGCGGTTGTCATGGCAACTGACTGGCAAGCCCAGCCCCGGCGGCCTGAGTACAAACAATGGAGCGATGGAGGGTGTCCCGCTGCCCAGGCACAGGAACACTTCCGTACGAGTGTGAAACTGTCACCATATTTTTTCATACCTCCTTGAGATTCTGGCAGCTCATCTGAAATTTATCCAAGTGCCCCTTCCCCGCTGTTGGTTAAAGCATCGTTGCTGACAGATGACAAGCTGTGGAGGAATCATCCGCGATGCGCAAGGCCGCGCAAAGCCCCGGGAGGCGGTCGGGCTAACGCCACTCGCTCGGCCGCCAGAGGGCGATGCGCGCGGCCGGCGACTCAGCCCACGCAGCGCCCCGGGGGCCACCGAGGCCACGTCCCTGCCCTTCGGGGGTGACAGGGGCTGAGAGCCGGGTCGTGCCAGCATCTACGGATCCCTGTGCAGCAGAATCTGCACAGGAAATCTGAGCTTCAGGTCAATGAAAACAATGAAAATTAGTCATTTCAGTAGATTTCAAAGCGAGGAGAGAAAAAAAGGCCAGGGAACACCGGTTCTGGCCGAGGGTGCAAGAGGCTGCGCGGAGGCCGGGGCTGCGGAAGGACGGCCGCGCAGCTCCGCTCCGAGGCCGCTGAGCGTCGCGCTGGCTCGCTCGGCCCTGACGTTCGTTGGCTCCGCGCAGCGCGGCCGGAGCGCGACGTGACCGGGCCACGTTCCTGTGTTTCTTCCAGGGTTCGAGTTCTTCGAGACGAGCGCCAAGGACAACGTGAACGTCAAGCAGACCTTTGAGCGCCTGGTGGACGTCATCTGCGAGCAGATGTCCGAGAGCCTGGAGGCCGACCAGGCCGCCGCTGCCGCCAAGCAGAGCGCGAGGCTCCAGGAGAGCCCGCCGCCGCCGCAGCCCGGCTGTGGCTGCTGACGCCGCGCGCGCGCGGAAGGTGGCCCGGCTCCCTCGCGCCGCCCGCGGGCCCTTCGGGGAGCCGCTGGTGGCCGTGGCTGGCACGCGCGGTGCGTCTTGGGAGACTCCCGCGCTGATAGGTGGCAAATGCACGATCTTAAATCCCTAAGACTGTCTGTCCGCAAACACCCGGTACTTGCATGTGATTTGTCATTTGTCTTCTAGGGTCTTTATGTTTCGGATTTCTTCTCGGATTAAGCTGCTGCTGGGACCTCAGACGTAAGTCACGCCTCAGGTGTTGGTGCCGTGGGCTCGGCCGCTGCTCGTCCCTGGTCGGATGACAACCCAGGAATCGCTTGTGTTGGGAGGGGAAACGGGGAGCTCTCAGGGATCCAATGCGCTTTGCTCTGGATCGAAAATCAAGTAGGCATGTCACTCACATTTTCTGAGTGAATTACCAGTTTTCTGGTCAGTTTACTATATAGGAAATGTGTCTGTTTTGTAGTGTTATTAACAACCGGGGAGACCATTGACTATGAAGAAATTGAAATACTATGTTGAAAGCCCTGTCAAGTTTCCTGAGAGATTCCATCCACCTGACTGGAACCAGGCGTAAGCAATGATCGCAGCTGAGACGTCTGAGTAAGGGGCACCCCGGAGGGCTGCTCCCCTCTTTGCACAGATGCCGACGGACGTTCTGCGCGCGTGCGGGCTCCGAGGGCTGAAGGGTTAGGCCAGCAAGGGCATCAGCCGCTGTGGGGTGCCGACACGTGAGGCCTCCCCGTCGCTTTACTAGCTAGCCCCCCGTAACGCGCACTAGCCCCCCGTAATGCGCCCTAGTCCCCGTAACCCGCCTGAGCACCGTTGCCTTCAGGGAGGCGCCGGTCTCAGCCGGGAGGGGGAGCCGGAGCTCACAGGCAGGCGCCCCACCACTGGCCCCGGCCTGCACCTGGCCGGGCTTCACTAAAGGGAAGTTATTTAAATAACCTCAGAGGCTCCAGGCTGTGAAGAGACTGATTTCCTCTTGGGCGTTTTCCAGTCCTCCTGTGCGTAAGGCAGGTCCCTGTGGGTAAGCCTTCCAACATGCTCAGGTCCCTGGGAGAGCCCCCAGAGCCGAGCCAGTGCCATGTTGCAGGACACCGCGGGCAGCTCGGGGGCAGAGGGAACGAGCCGTGTGAACACCCCGGGGCCTTTGCCCAGACCCCCCGCAGACCAAGCGTGACAGGCACACGAACTCTCCGCGGCCCCTGGCGGCACTGGAAGAGACTCGCCGGCTGGCGCTCCCCGCGATGTTGACCGTGGGGCTGCGGGGAGGCAGCCGGCAGGGTAGGAGGACCCTCACGCTAGGGAGACCCGCCCCTTGTTTTGGTGCTTGTAGTAAAGGTGTTTCTCCGCCTTGCAAAACTGGAGAACATTCGCATGCAAGTAAGCTCTGGTGCGGGTTTATTAAGGAGGGGTGTGGGCAGGGAAGCTGCGGGGACCCAGGGGGTCCGGAGGGCTGCGGCCTGTAAGCCGGGGAGGGGCGGCGTGCGCGGTGAGTGAATTGCAGGATGGAAGTGCAGGGAAGGGCGTTGGGCTGTTCTGGGCACACCCTGTGTGTCCCCCACTTTTAGCCTAAGAGACACTAATTGGTAATAAATTTTTACTTCAGCACCCCCCGGGCAGGCCTCAGGTTAGTGAAGACAAGGAAACGTTAATGCTTTATTAGATTTTAATGGGCAACCAGCTTCGAAAATCACAGAAAGTAGATGTGAAGGAGAGAGAAGGCGGGGCAATGGGGCCGATTTGTGCGCGGCGCCAGCCCGTTGGGGACCTGCGAGCCCTGGGCTGGACCGCGGCCTGGTGCTGCTGCAGCCGCGAGGCCGGCTCCCGCGTCCCCGCCGCAGGGGCCCTGGGAGGCCCTCCCACTCACGGTCGGAGGTCACGGAGGACATGCACCACCGTGGAGGGGAAAGCAGAACGAGAAGGGGGGTTGAGCTTGGCCCCCTCGGAATCCTTTTCCCCGGTGAACTGACAGCTATTCAGCGAGTCGGCCCAGGACCAGGAGCGTGAAGGCGGGTGTGCCAAACGGGCCAGCCTGGGAGGGCGCCTGGGCGCGCGCCTGCCTGCAGTCCTTGCCGGGCCGCTGGGTGAATCCCACTCTCCGAGCCTCGGCAGAAACAGCCTCCCTGCCTGGTCCTCGGTTTTGAAACCCCCACCCCGGTGTGAATGTCATCGGGCGAGAAGTTTCCGGAGAGGGTACCACAGAGCTGGAGCGAACGGGCGCCGGGGCTCTTTCTGCAGAGCGTGTGGGAAGGGAGAGTAGCCTCCAGGCCTAATCTCATCAAGACATTTTGGTTTTGAAATGAATTTGGCAAAACAGGAACCATCCCAGGGCTAACGAAGCAAGGCTCCATTCATGGGCGCTGCGTTGCATCACTGATAAACCATAGCACCGTAGCCCCCGAGATCCCCAGCCCTGTGGCCACGTGCACACACGGCGCCCGCGTCTCCGCCTGCCCGCAGCGCCTGCGCCCCGACGGCCTGACCGAACGCCTGCTCGAAAGGCTGAGGCACCTTACAAGGGTGCGCCGGTTGGTGTGTGAGTGTTAGATGCCTGTCACATGGTCCCGTCTTTGATGCAACTAGATCAGTGTTTCAAGTGAATTTCTCTTCCTTTTGCAGCCCCCCATGACCTCACCCCCCCCCCCCCCTTACTTTTAGGAATAAACCTTGAGTGTTTTGAGTAAATACTTCCGAGAACTTTGGCTTTGCGACATTTCTTTTGTTTCTAATGTAATTGAAAAATTGGACTGGAAGTGGTTTTATCAAATAGTCCGTGGAGTGGACCCGCATCTCTGCGCCCTGGCTGGGATGGGACGAACCACAAGGCGGGCGGCGTCCTACGCCCCGAGGGGGCAGGCCCCGCAGTTGGCCACCCCCCCCCCCCCCCCGTCCCCAAGCGGAGCTGCTGTGCGGCTGCAGTGAGTCCCTTGCTGCCGCCACTGCCGCCAAGCTCCTGCGGCCCGAGGACCCCGAAGGCCCTGAGCTCCTGCGTAGGTTCCTTCAGCCCGCGCCCGCGCGCCACGCCGCGGGGAACTGAGAGCGCGGCTGTGCATTTGGACGCGGAAGGGGACGCGCTTTGGTCGCAGCAGAAAGGCAGCCCTGCGACTGTTGGGACGAAGTGCCAACGCTGCAGAATCGCGGCCCAGGTGGTGCAAGACCTCCACATACTCAATAAGCAATCAGATTTCGGCGACCTAACTTCTCCAGACCAGTTACGGCTTTTAGGTTCTGCACAGTCGTTCTTTTTCAGGGACCGGCTCCAACGCCCGCCTGTAACCGCGCCCACGCTGCGAACAGGCTTCAGGCACGCGCTGCTCTTTTGCCAAAGGAAGACGCGGACACGCGCGAAGCAGCAGTGGCGCCGGAGCTTCCCGGCCGGGCCGGGGCGCGGCTGACGCGCCCTCCCACCCGAGCCCCAGTGCCCCCACGCAAGCCCCCCGTGTGGCACCGCAGGACTGTTTTCAGACCCCGCCAAGCCCTCAGGGCTGTGATAGGAGCTGCGTGTGAAAACCGAGGACTCTTACTTTATAGTAACGACTAAAACCTTCCCAGACCAGAAAGCGCCTGGTACAGATTTTCACCGCGCGGCGGCGCTCGGCCCGGCACTTCGGCGGCGGCGCTTTGGGAGGCGGCCTGTCCCTCTCTCCGCAGCCGTGTGCGCGGCTGGCGCGCGGGCCTTTGTTCCCGGGGGCGTCGTCGGTGGGCGAGGTCCGGGCCGCGCGGACAGCCAGACCCCGTGGCCTCCCTCCCGCCCCCGGAGGAGGCGCCTGCACAGCTCTGCCGGTGTCTGTCTGTCTGTACTTGACAGTTTACCAGCGAAGGGGGGCAAATTTTGCTAATGAACTGAACAATTAGTGTCAGCTGTTTAGAGTGTTTCATATTTTAGGTGAATTTTGACCAAAGTCAGTTTCAGACATAAACCTCTTTTATGTTCTGGAGTGAACATGACATGAATTGGGTAAAAGATGAAGTTTATGACCAGGGAAAAAAAAGCATCTTTATCTGTACAGTGGACTTAAAGGGCTTCGGGCTCCAGAAATGTGGCCTCCGGGGGGCGGGGCGCGGGGATGCGAGGGGTGGGGGCAGAAACAGGCCAGGGAACCGAACTACAATGTATCGACCTAGCCTGATGGATATTCCTAAATAAATGTAGTTTTTCTCAGAAACCTTGACAGAAATGCTCGGCACTGCAGTCCCATCGTATTTCCCTGTGGCAGGTTGAAGTGCCGACACGTGGGCCGCAGGCACGCGCTGCCCCCCCACCCCCACCCCCACGCCGAGGGCGCCTGTGCCCCGGGGCGCCAGCGCTCTGTGGGCTCCGGGAACCGGAGCTCGCGCTCTGCTCCAGCGACAACACATCTGTCTAAAAGGTCCGTGAAATGGAGTCTTCACACCGATTTCTGTGCTGCGATCACAATTAATTCCCATTAAAAAGAGGATGGAAAGTAGATGCTGTGACAGAAGCCGGACAAAAGCGAGCCGTGTCCGCGCCTCTGCCAGGACGCGCGCTCGGGCCGGGCCGCCGCAGGTCAGGCTTCCTGGCCGCCGTTCTCGTTCCTCCTTCCTGACTTGTTTGCCCTTTCGTGTTGTAAAGCACCGTCCTCCCAGAGCGGCGGGTCTGACACTAGAAGTGACACCTCCGTTTCACTGTTTCCCTCCCAGCGGCGCTGATGCCGGTGGGGTCCCCACCCAACGGTACCTGCCCAAAGGGGGCGGGGCTTTACTGGGTGTTCCCTTCGCCCGCGTTCACACTGTCCTTCAGCGTGGACAGTGCAGGGCTGGCTGTGACTTTGTTTCTGGATGAAAATATTTCCCTATTCACGGTTTTAGTGGCCAGGGATTGCTTGGTTCATGCGCGCCATTCTCGTGAAGGGCACAGACGGCAGGAGAGCCATGCAGACACCTGGCCCGCCCTTCGGGGACGTGCGCTCGGCCGACTGCGCCGAGTGGGTCCGCGCGCCCCATAAACGGGGGCC